TTGGGGCTCCTAGTTGGCACCCTCACTGGTTTTCTGGTTAAGGGTAACACTCATGGCACCTACACAAATTCTCTCAAGAGCTGTGGCTCATTTGAACCAGCCCCCCCCACCTGATGGAACTGAAGCTGGTGGGGGGGGGCTACCCAGCCAGAGGCTTTTGCTTCTCTTCAGTCGGTGGCCCCACCCCTCTAAGCTGTGGGAGAATCTATGGCCTTCCCCAGCCCAGGCACCCTGCCCAGCCAAGCCCTCCTGGGAGTCCCAGTTCCCTCTTTGCAGGCTGACCTTTGTGCAGACCCAATTACTTTAGAACATTAGTTCTGGGGAAGGCTGCTTCCTGCAAGGAGTCCCTCCTGTTCTCTGTCCTGGGATTAAACCAAAGTCATAGGCAAGATAAAGACAGAGAATGGGAGTGTGTCTTTCCAACCTATTCAGTTTGTGTAGAGAGCTGCCGGTGAAAATAAGCCTTCTTGGCTGCTGGCTGTTTGGAAAATGCACCTTAGGCCTTGTTCTCTTCTCACAATTGTATGCCCCTGGCCCTGCTTTCTCCCTCTTTGAGCACAGAAGGAAGGAGCCTGTGGAATTTTCCAGCCCTAACAGGGGTTGAGGGAAGGAGAGGATATTGGCCAGGGACAGTTACACCCTACACCCGGCACCAGCAGGTTCTGAGGTGCCCCTGGGGTGGAAGGCAAAGCTGTCCTGGCTCCTTCAAGGTGCCTTTGCAGCTTCCTTCTACCTTTTCCTTATGAAGTTCAAGTTTTCCACTGGGGATTTGCAGCATGCTCTTTGCACCAGCTTTAGAGGCCCTGCTGGCTTGCTGTTCCTTGCTCCCAGGGCCCATCATCCCTCCCCCCCACCCCCCAGGAACTGAAACAGTGAAGAAGATGGGCCCATCTTGGGAATGGGCACCCAGGGAGGCCTCAGTGGAACTGAGTGCCTTACCCATCACCCCCTTAACCACCCATCCTGTTCTGCAGGAATGACACCAAGGAGGATGTCTTTGTTCACCAGGTAAGAGCTAGGTTGGCTTTCTGAGGGGATGCACCCGCCTCTTTGGAAGCCTTTGCCACAACTTCTAGCTTCACACTATATTTCTCTGGCTCTTAACTTCACAACGGCCTGCCCATGAGGAATAGCTGGCCTCCCATCTACCTCAGGTGCCTGCCTATATGAACCACCATTAGCCCCACTTTCCTTGAGTTGCTGAACAGCTGTCAGAACTGTGCATGTTGCCCTCGGCACGGCATGCTCACCACCTCCTGGGACCTGTTAACACCACAGGAAGGCATCCGGCAATATTCCGAGGGCAAGGCCAGAGACACTTGGGTGCAGTGAGTCTCAGTGTGTTCTCTGCACTAGCAGCAGCATCACCTGAGCTACCAGGCCCTGCCCAAGCACTGAATTAATGAGCCTTGGGGCTGGGCACTGTGTTTTAACATGCTCCCAGGTGATTCTGATAACTGGCTAGTTTGAGAACCACTGCTCTGGTGGAGAGAGAGTGCTCAGTGGGACCCAGGTAAGAAGCAACTTAAGACCATTTCAGCCTTTGTTTTGCTTGAGTTTCTGCTGCCTCCATTTTTTGAAGTCTTTGAGGGTAGAGGGAGAAGGGAGGATGTCTTGGACAGTGGTGACTTGACAGTGGGTCCCTCAGACTCTCCTTCATGACTCTCCCTACTAATATATTTCTTGTGGTGCTGTGGAGCTATGCTCCAGGCCCTCCCATACTACTCTGAACACGTTCGTGCTCTACCTCTCAGCCCTACGGGACTCCAGTAAAAGTCACATTGGAGTTGGGTGGAGGCTGAGGCTGGTGAGAGATGGTGGTCTGTGCCCTCACCTTTGTCATGACTTTCCCCCCAACCAGACAGCTATTAAGAGAAACAACCCCAGGAAGTTTCTGCGAAGTGTTGGAGATGGGGAGACTGTGGAGTTTGATGTCGTGGAAGGAGAGAAGGTTTGGGAGCTGCTGTGGGGTGGAGTTGGCCAGGACTGTGGGAGGGTGGCCTGGTCGTCAGCCTAGGCTGTGACCCTCCTGGGACCAGTTCTGCCTGATGTGGGGATGGGGCCTGTGCTCTCTCACCTGGATGTTATCAAATGCTAGGGCTGTTCTAGGACATGTCCTAAAGAATCCATCCCTGTCACCAGTCAGTAACATGTGGGTTTCTTCTCTGTAGTTCACCAAGCACTTCCATGTCTGTTTTCTACAGGGGACCCCAGCCCTAACAGGACTCTCAGTCAGTCCTCTGGAGTGAAGGAGGGACAGTGGCTCTCTCTATCTCATCCTGTCCTGTCTTTTACACAATGGGGGGAATGTGGCAGTTATTTCTAAGGACAAGTTGTTTCTTCTCAGATGGGTACAAACTCCTTCTGCTGCCCCTGGGGGGAGGGGAGAGAGGAGTGATTTTGAGGAGCAGCAGGATAGAGGACTTGGGCCAGAAGAAGGGGGACGCTAGTGATCTGACAGGTTTGTAAGTGCTTCGTGTTTGTTATCAGGGCGAGTTCTGACTGCTCCCTCTCTGCCTCCCCAGGGTGCAGAAGCTGCTAATGTAACTGGGCCTGGGGGGGTGCCAGTGAAGGGCAGCCGCTATGCCCCAAATCGACGCAGGTTCCGCAGATTCATCCCGCGGCCCCGCCCAGCCGCCCCACCACCCATGGTGGCAGAGGCTCCCTCGGGTGGGACTGAACCTGGCAGCGAAGGGGAGCGGGCAGAGGACTCAGGGCAGCGACCTAGACGACGGCGCCCACCTCCCTTCTTCTACCGAAGGCGGTTTGTGCGAGGCCCTCGGCCCCCCAATCAGCAGCAGCCCATAGAGGTGAGACAGAATTGCAGTCAGGGAGCCAGCTCATCAATTTTGGAAAGAAGTGGGCCAGTTGCGAGGGCAGAGACCGTAGAATCCTCGACAGAAGTAGAACTGAGACTAGGAAGAGCCGAGGATGACCTGGCCCAGGGACAGCAGGGGGAGCTCAATAGCTCACCTATATGCCTTGTACATTCCCAGGGCTCCGATGGGGTAGAGCCCAAGGAGACAGCCCCATTGGAGGGGGACCAACAGCAAGGAGATGAACGGGTGCCCCCACCCAGATTCCGGCCTAGGTACCGAAGGTAAGACTTCACCTGTGTCTTCCCATGTAAGAAGACAAGGGTTCTAAGATGGGGAAACAGGAACCCTGGGGGAAGGGAGTCTACTCTGGGTGCCCTGGTCCTGTCAGTCTGTTTCTCTTTCTAGGCCTTTCCGCCCCAGGCCACCCCAACAGCCTACCACAGAAGGTGGGGATGGCGAGACCAAGCCCAACCAAGGCCCCACTGATGGCTCCCGGCCTGAGCCCCAGCGTCCACGAAACCGCCCCTACTTCCAGCGGCGTCGGCAGCAGCCCCCTGGCCCCCGGCAGCCTATAGCCGCAGAGGTGAGGTCTTGGTTGCCCAAAACGTGGGTGGGAAGGGCCAAGAGCAATTGCCTCCCTTCTGCCCTTTTCCTTAGCTTCTAGCTTCAGTTAGAAAGCACCTCTGCTTTCCTTGTCCCTGTCCCTCTTGCCAGCCCGCTTGGCCCACCCCTGACAGGAAACCCCAACACAGGCAAGCAAGTCCAGGGTTCCTTGAATGAATGCCCCACTCCCATCCCCAGTGTTGGGAGTTGTTACAAAGGATAGGAAGAGCAAAGTTAAGGAAAAGTTGGAGTAGAATGTAACAAGTGTTAGCCATGGCTTTCTTTAGACCTCAGCACCTATCAACAGTGGGGACCCCCCCACCACCATACTGGAGTGATTCTGCCTCAGAGGACACCCAGAGCTACCATCTGGTGAGTGCTCCTCTCAGGGCAGATGATTAAAAGGCCAGGGACTGGGTTCTGCTAAATTATCCTTTATGATTTGCCTTTTTTCCTCTTAGGTATCTGCCAGTTTCCAACTGACTCTACCCAGCATCCCCCTCCCCCCTCTCCCATAATTCATGACATCAAAACATCGGCTTTTCCCTTGAGACTCAGGAGGGCCAAAGCAACAGCCTTTGGCTTTTTCTCTTTTTTCCCCTCTCCCCTCCCAAGGGTTGAAGGAAGGGATCCATCCTTACTGTTCAGAGGCACCACCTCCCTCCCCTAAGTCAGGCTGAGAAGGAACCAGCCAGCTCTTCACCTCCTCCTGATTGTTTTTCTTTCCCACCCATTTATTTTTTGTTTCCCTTCGACCTCCCCCCCAACACCTCTGAAGCCATTTTATGAACTGTCATGTGCCACCTGAGCCTCCAGTAAAAACAAAAGCAGGCTTTCTTGTTGTCTTGGTCTCTGCCTCTTTTCTGTTTGAGAATGGAGAAGCATTGGTAACTCACTTCTAAACAAGAAGCCCTCCTCACCAAGAATCACGGGTCCAGTAACTGAGGGTGAGGTCTCTGCAGTCCCTGGGCACTTGTGAACATAGATACAAACCACCTACTGTTAATTAAAGCAATAGATAACGGTCAAAGTAGGGAGCCAGACAGACCCAGCTGAGTCCAGAGGATTCCTAATTCCAGGTCAGCCTGGGCCACACAGACTCTGTCTCAAGAAAAGTGTTTTAAGCATGTGTTGGTGGCACATGCCTTTAATCCCAGCACTCAGGAAACAGAAGCAGGCAGATCTCTGTATGCTCCAGGCCAGCCTGGTCTACAGAGCAGTTCCAGGACAGGCTTCAAAGCTACACAGAGAAACCCTGTCTCAAATCCAAAAAGCAAACAAAAAAGTGGGGAATTTGGATTCAGGCCTGTAAACCCAGCACTGTAGGAGGCTGAGACATGAGGCTTGCTACAAGTTTAAGGCTATTCTGGGCTGTATAGTGAAACCCTGTTTTTTGTTTGTTTGCTTTGTTTTGTTTTTAAACAGGTTGACAAAAGTAGATATGAGTAGCTGACAGGATCTAGACTCTAAAGGCGTCTGAGCCCTTGAGCCAAGGCAAAGCAAAGAGGAAGAGGGGTGGGTGAGGGCATCTTGCCTGTATTAGCCCACCCTCCAATTCCTCCACGACAGGACACTCTCTTCATACAGTGATTTTATGGATACATCTCTATATATACATTTAATACAGCAGCCCTTGGGTTTCTGCTCCCTAGCTGTTCTTCAAAACATACAAAAATATCCAAAGGCTCCCTCCCAACCAGTCTATAGGCAGCCTTTCAGATTCCCTGTTGCCCTTAGTTGGTTAAAAGCTTTTGGGGAATAAGAAAGAGCTGGTACCCACACTTGGCAGCCCTGGGGAACAACAGACCAACAGACTAGCACCCCATGTCTAGAGACTGATGCTTGCTACGACTCCTTGCCATGTCCAGGTATATAGGCTGTTGTGCTCCTTTGCCTTGGAAGGTGGCGTCTCCATGGACAGACAGAGGAGAGAATAGACTTTGGGAGGGTGTGTCCTTTGCCCTGGAGGGGTCAAGACAGAACCCCCTTCACCCAGAATCTTATGTGGCAAGAATTCAGTGAAAGTGCCAAATTGTGGGCGGAGTCGGAGTCGGAGTTGGTAGGAAATCACTCATGTCTGCTCCTTCTCATCCCACTGAATTCAGCTCAGCACCTCCCTCCTGCATGTCCACTACTCTAAAGGGAACGAAGGTATTCTGGGGCCAAGTCTGAGTAGGGGCAGGAGGAAGGCAGGAGAGGAGAAGAGCCCATGGAGTGGCCACAGCTTAGCCACAACACATAAATAATCCAAGATCACAGGAGGGGAATGAGGGGGTACTTGGACCACCCTTCCCTCAGCTTCCCAGTGCTCCAAGCTGCAGTTTTCTCCATCCTGGAGGTAATGGGAAAAGAGGGCTAAAGTGCTGCAGAGGAAAGGAGGGGGCTGTGGGGGTGGAGAGAGTGGTTCTTCCACCTGCCTTGCCCCTCAGTCGTTCTCATCTGGCCCTAAGTATTCAAGTTCTGTGCTGGGTTTCACCTCCTGCTCTAAGAGGGAAGGTGTCCGGCGGAAGGCAGCGGAGATCTGGTCAAACGTCCGGCCTCTGGTTTCAGGCACTTTTAGGAAGGTGAAGATGAAGAAGCCAAGCAGGAGGACGGCAAATAGAAGGAAGACGTAGGGACCCATAGCATCCTGGGACAGTTGGAGAAAGAGGTGTTGACAGAGGGGTGGGAAGCCAGGAACTAAAGACTAATAGGGAGCTGGGGCTACTTAAGGGACCAGGAGGCTCCTTCCAAAGGCAACAGAAATGACCAGAAATGAAAATTTACATTGAAAATGTTTTCGCCCTTTGCTATCCTAAGAGTGTACACTTGGAGAATATTTCTAAACCACTTATAGCATTAATAGAAATTACATCATTTTATTTCTGGTCTAAATTATACCAGTGTTTACTTTTAAAGATAGCCCTGCTGCTGGCCCACCTATCCCCACCCATTTCTTTGATTCTGGTATACTTCCACCAGAGTGGTCATCCAGAAACTACCTGTAGGACTGGGAGCTCCTGACCAGAGAGCGAAGGAACTAGGGGTGAGTTGCCTCCCCTCTGGGTAAAGGGAGGGGAACCTACCGCAACATACTGGAAACCCATGCCAACGATGAAGTTACAGGTCCAGTTGGAGAAACCAGCTACAGCCATGGCTGCTGGACGGGGCCCCTGACTGAAGAGCTCCGCCACAATGAACCAGGGGATGGGGCCAGGGCCAATCTCAAAGAAGGCCACAAAGCCAAATATGGCCACAATGGAGACATAGCTCATGGCTGGAACCCGTTCCTAGAGACCAGGAAAGAACAGTAGAAAGTTTGGTTCTGGCTTCTCTGGATCTCCCCTTGCCCTTGGCCTAGAGAACTGAAATCGCCTTTCCATAGCTTAGGTGGAGGCTGCCATTCTAGACTAGAACAGGTCATAGGGCATCCCCTGTCCACCCCCTTTTAGACAGGGTCTCACTATGTCACCCAGGCCGGCCTTGAACTTGTAAGCCTTCCACCTCAGCCTCCCCGGTGTTGAGCTGCCCTGGAACATGTCTGAGTGCTGCCATTTTGCTTTCTACCTCAGGTCGTTTCAAGGTGGAGATATATTTCGGTCTCTTGTTCCAATAATGGTTGATTCCCCCTTGGTTCTGAAGATGTCTCTTTAGGAATTATTGCTCCTGAGGCTTCATAGGGACTGCTAGACATGTGCTATAGCTAGGCCCCGGTGTGGCCAGGGAACTTCAGAAACACAGACTACATAGACTCTAGGACCCAGCACCCATGATCCTGGCACAGTCAGGCACACAGTCTCCCGAGGTTATTCCCATAGCTTAGACTGCTGTGTCCTCACAGCCCCTAGGCCTCACCAGCAGAAGCAGAGCCACAGTCATCAAGATGGCACAGCCACACATGCCTGCCAGGCCCAAAAGATGCAGTGTCCGTCTCCCAGCTCGTTCTACTAAGAACACCTGTGGAGGGGGACAGGGCTGGTCAGTTGAGGGCAAACCAGAGTAGGATCTCCAGGGCACCCAAGGCTAAAAAAACCAGTGATGGGTCCATTCCAAAGGCAAGCAGTTACCGAGACCAATGTGAAGACAGTGTTGACCACACCAGCTCCTATGGTGGCGTAGGCTGGCTGTCCCACCCCAGCTGACTCAAAGATGCTGGTTGAGTAATAGAAAACCTAGAAGTAAGAGAGCAGGAAAGGCGATGGCAGGGATGTCTGGTCCTTCATTGCAACCACACCAAAGTGGACTGAGCCTGAATGCTAATGGGGAGGTGATTGCTCCCCTCTCCCTTTCCCCAAGCTGGTACCTGACCCATAGTCTGCCCGGGTCTCCATACGTACAGCATTGATGCCTGAGAGCTGCTGGCTCAGCTGTAGCACGACTGCAATGATCAGAGGCTGCCTATGGGTGCGGCTGCCCAGGAGCTGGGGCAGGGACATTGGACGCTCTCGCTCCAACTTCCGCTTCTCATCCTTCAGCTCAGCCAGTGCCTCAGACACGTCGGCCCAGCCTGTCAGGCGCTTCAGACCTGGGGGTGGGGAATGTCAGGCCTTATGGAGCCTGAGAGAAGGCCAGGTACTAGCAAGATGGGGTGGAGGTGTGAACCTGGGCTATATGCAAGGTGAGAGCTCACTCTTTCTGGCAGGCCCCTCCAGGTTCCGGATGATATAGAGGTATCTGGGGCTCTCAGGACAGAAGGGCAGCAGAATCAGCTGCAGGAGGGCAGGAAGTACTGTGATAGCCAGAAGCAGTGGCCACAGGGTAGCTGTGCCCAGCATAGACTCCAAGCCCAATACCTGTGGGAGAAGGGAGGAAAGACAGTAAAGGTTTCTTTGGTCTCCTTCCTGCCCAACTACGGATGTCCAATCAAACTATTGTTCCTAGCTCCCCTATAGGCCAGGCCTATTTACCTGGGCAATTAGAATGCCAATGACGATGGCCAATTGGTTGAGTGTTCCCAAGGCACCCCGAAGGTGAGTGGGGGCGATTTCTCCCACATACATAGGTACCAACCCTGATGTTAGCCCTGGGCAGAAGAAAGAAAAGAGGGCTGAGGGTAGCTGCATATCCCCTTACAGAAATCCATGCATGATTAGGGACAATAGGGGCACACATGGGTACCTGAGTAGGCGCCAATGAGGAACCGTCCGAGAATGAGTATTTCATAGGAGGCAACGGCATTGGCTAGGCCCATGAGGGTGCCCCCCAGCACTGCCAAGACATTGTTGGCCAGCATAGCCCTTTTCCTGGCAGGCACACGAACAGGAGGGCTGGTCAGGGCACCCATGCCATGGCCCTCCTTCCTACCTTCCTACCCCTGCTCTGCAACTCCATACCTTCCCAGCCACTGGGAAATGATGCCAACGAGGAAGGAAGAAATCATGCCACCCACTGAAAAGATGGCCACGGAGAGAGCCCAAAGTGTGGTGAGAGTGGCCTGAGGGATGGAACCAGCTCCCTCAGGTCCCTGCCTCCCCAGCCATGTTGCATTGTAGCTCTGTTCGATCACCTGGGGGACAACATGGGAGTGAGTCTAGAGACCCTTCTCCAGCCACCACCTCCGAGTCCCCCCCCCCACAGCTATAGGCCTACCTTCTGCGGGGCATTGATGACACCAATGTTGTAGCCAAACTGAAGGGAGCCGAGCACAGCTGAGAATACAGCAAGGACCAGTGTGCCAGTCACTCGCTGCCGAGGGGGTTCCCCGTCCTGGACAGACAGAAGGACAGACACATAGAATCACGTTTGGCTTCCTTCAGGGGCCCAGGCCAGCTGCAGCAGAACATGCTGGGCTCCATCCAACATACTGGGTGAGAGAAAGTGGGCCATATTAGGAATTGTTCAAAGATCTCACTGTAAACAGAACTCAACAGGAACCTGGGCATGTAGGAAAAACGGATGTCTGTGTCCACATTACAGACAAATTCTGAACCTCGGATTCCCCTGTGACCTTGAGGCAGCCTTAGATTTGTGTGACCTTGGGTAAGTCACTTCCTCACTGTAAAGAGAACCTCGGTTCCCTCTTCTGTGAGGTGATATTGCCTCCCTGGGCTACCTGTCAGTCTGAAAACCCTCCAAAAATCAAAATCAACTCTTAATAGGATCCCAGACATTGCCTCTTTCTATAAACTGGTAAGTTTAGTATTAGCATCAGCCTTAATCCTCAGCTCTTCCTTCTGGAAGTTCTCTTGGCTGGCTCCAACAGGCCCTCGACAGGCCTAAGTAGGGCCGTTCCAGAAAGGACATCTGGGTCATTGCCTTGGGGTGGCTTTAAAGTCTCCGCCTAACTTTTTCTCAGCTCCTAAACTGGGACCAAGGGGGGATTTCAGCAGGGAGAGAGAGCCATGCCCAAGGGAAGAGTGGGGAATGGTAGTGGTGTGAGGGGCGGTGGCAGTGGTGGCTGCTGTTGGCGGCACAACCTGTCTCCAAGCCGAAACCTGATCTGGGGGGTGGGGTGGGGGCTGACCCTCCCCTCCGCCCCTCCACCCACCACAAGGCCGAGAGAAAGTTCAGCCTCCTGGAGGCCGGCCAAGGGTGGGGGTGGGGCCCCCGAAGTGCCTCGGTCCCAGAAACTCTGTGAGCGGTGAGACTCCGGATCTGCCTTCCCACATAAAGTCGAGGGCAAGGTGTCCCCCAGTGCTGCGTACAGTAAGACAGGACACAAACCCCGGATTCGCCAGAAATCCAGTCGTAGCTGGGCGCGTGAAGACTTTCGGACCCGCTCTGTCTCTTGACGGGATAGGAATCTGACAGTCACGGGTTGTCTAGGCTGAGTATAAATAGCCAGCCCCCCATCTCCAACCCTTGCGCCTGCGCAAGAACCACCTCCTAGCTGCCCCCAGCCTCGACCCCCACCCAAGAAAAGCCGGACCCGCGTCCCCGATTCTCCCCCTAATGCTGAACCTTACTTCAGAGCCGATCTGCTGGAAACCCGACGGCATCTTGTCTTAATAGAATTGAAGACTGGCGCTGCAGGAAGAAAAAGCGAATGGAGTATGTGGCTCTTGCCTGGTGTACAGAAGGAGAAAGCCCCAGCCTGGCGTCCCGAAGCGAAGTGCACAGGCGGGTCTGGTGGGACCCACTGCGACAAGTCAAGGAGCCGGAGAGCACCAGGGCTCTCCGGGATCTAGTGGGAACCACTTGGGGGGGAAAGATGCGGGAAGCTGTAGCCACCTCCTCACTCCCGCCCCGCCATGGGCCACGCCCCTCACAACACCATTGGCCAGGAGCCCGCACACCCCAAAAGGCCACGCCCCCACCCTAGCCTAGTGCGGGCTGGGGAGACACGCCCCTATGGTTCCCGCCAGCCTGGAGTTTCAAAGTAGGGTTCTTGGTACAAAAGGCTCCTCCCGCCATCCAAAATTCTGGACTGCGAAATTTCTTGAAGAGTTGAGAGTGCAGCTGATCCCCCTGTGAGGTCGAAGAGGAGGGCATGGGCTAAGGTGCACTTGCCAGGGTCCCGGGTAACTCCAGCAGGGTGACACAGTGCGCGCTGGGGTGCGTGTGTCAGAAACAATGCCCCGAAGTAACCCGGAGTGGCTATTTTTAGCTCCCACGTTAGGCTCCGCCAAATGTCAGGTCCCGGGTGTCCCGAGCGGGGGAGGGCAAGGGAGACTTAAAGGGTCCGCGGCACGCTTCCCACAAGGGGATGGCCCAGGGAACCAATAGCTTCCGTTCCCGGTGTGTCTGGGGACCGAACCTGGTCGCCCTTTCTTTCACGCATCCTTGGGCGGGGCTCTGCCTACTGATCCATCCCCTCCACACATTCCCTACCTTGGTTTCTGGAGGGGGCCCAAGGGACAGGTGCTCACGCCAGCCACACTACCCTCCCTGAAGTCCTTGAGCCTCCAGGCATGTGCTGGCCGCGTGGGTGACATGCTTTCCACAGTCAGCTCCCGTTTTGGGTCTCTAGCTGAGAGGGCACGACCTAGGCACGTCAGGGAGAGAGAAGCCAGACTGTGGGGAGAGAGAGAGAGAGAGACAGACAGAGAGAGACAGAGAGAGAGAGAGAGAGAGAGACAGAGAGAGAGAGAGAGAGAGCTCGAGTCAGAAAACGCTCCTGAGAAGTACAGGGCTGTAGCGACATCTAGAGGGAGAGTGAGGAATCTCAGTGGATTGGAGCCGGGTAGCTAGCCTCTGGGCTGGGGTCTCTTCTGTTAATAGTTGCCCTAAGATTTCAACCCAACCCTCTTTGGAGGGCCAGAATGTTGCAGTTCATAAGAGAACATATAAAGCATGGACTTCCTCCTAATTTCCTTACTCCAATGAGGTTGGGGTCTTCCAGGAATTTGTGTTTTGACTTCCTCTCTCGTACACTTGGTTTTCTCCATCTATCTCACTACCACTTTAGTCCAAAATATCATGACCCGACTGCTTTTCCCTGCTTCCCCTCTTCCCTTAAAATGAGGGTACAGGGGTTGGCGAGATGGCGCAGCAGTTAAGAGCACTGACTGCTCTCCCAGACCGAGGTTTGAGTCCCAGCACCCACGTGGATGCTACAACACCTGTAACTCCAGTTCCAGGGGATCCTACACCCTTTCCTGGATTCTATAGGCCCCAGGTACACATGTAGTACACAGACATACACACAGACAAAACACTCTTTCACATAAAAATAATAAAATTAAATTCAAAATGAAAGGAGGGTAGAATGCTGGGTGGTGGCAGAGCTCACCTTTAATCTCAGCGCTCAGGAGGCAGAGGCCAGTCTGGTCTGCAGAGTGAGTTCCAGGACAGCCAGGCTATACAGAAAATCCCTGTCTCAAGAAGAAAACAGAAGAAGGAGGAGGAAGGAAGGGAGGGGGAGGGAGGGAGGGAGAAGGGTAGAGTGCAACTTTCAATAGTTTGCTTGCTTTGTTTTGTGAGACAAGATTTCTCTGTGTATCCCTGGCTGTCCTGGAACTCAGAGAAATCCACCGCCTTTGCCTCCCGAACGCTGGGGTTAACAGCGTGCAGCGCATTTTCTTTTGTTTTCTTCTTTGAGACAGCCTGACGCTGGCCACAGGCTGGCCTCAAACATGCTGCTCTTCTGAGTGAGCAAGCGAGGGTTGGGACTGCAGATCTGAGGCTAATGCCTGCTTACAGGCACTCACCATCTGCTGTTGGATCCTCCTTGCCTTTAACCCTCCTCTTCTTCCTCTCTGTTCTCCTTCTCCATTGCTGTCCTCTTTTTCTTCCTCTTTCCTGTCCCTCTTCCCATCTTCCTCTTCCTCCTGGTCTAGAACTTACTATGTTTTTGACTCTGACCTTACATTTTAGATACTCTGGCTTCAGCCTCTTGAGTTCTGGGATTACACTTGGTGCCTTTGCCTGTTCCTGCAATCTGTAATACCAGAGAACTCCTATTTATCTTTCAAAACAAGGCTCTCAAGACTGGAGAGATGGCCTCATCAGTTAAGAACACTTGTTGCTCTTGCAGAGGACCCAGGTTCAATTCCCAGTACCCACATGGTGACTCACAACCATTTGTAACTCCAGTTTCAGGTGATCTGACACCGTCTTCTGACCCCCTCAGGCACCAGGCACACATGTGGTATACAGACATACATGTGAGCAAAGCACTCACATCAAATAAATAAATCTAAAAAAATTTAATTTTTTTTTTTTTTTTTTTTTTTGAGACAGAATTTCTCTGTATTGCTTTGGAGCCTGTCCTGGAACCAGCTCTGTAGACCAGGCTGGCCTTGAACTCACAGAGATCTACCTGTCTCTGCCTCCCTAAGTGCTAAAGGTGTGTGCCACCAATGCCCGGCAAAAAATAATTTTTTTAAAACTTACCTCCTCTGAGAAGACTTCTTGGCCTTTCTTGCAAACAGACAAATGCTCTCTCTTGTAGCTGATTCATTACCATTTCTGCTGTCTGCAATTCAGTCTCAGAGGCTGACGGTCATCTTATTCATGCATCCAACTTAGAGCAGGGTATTCTAGCTATTTTTTTCTTTATTTCATTTTTTCTTTCTTGTGTTTTTTTTTCTTATATTCTAACTATTTATTGGATGAATGGATTGAGGGTTGGTCTGCTGATTATGGTAGATAATGTATATGGGGGCAATAATAATTTGTAACCAGAAAGGAAGAGAAGGAAGGTGAGGAGGACTGAGCAGGAAGGGAAGCAGACACAGGGAATCTGGGATGCCATAAGGGGAGGCAAGGACTGGGTTGAGGTAAAAGCAGTGTAGTAAATGGGTACAGGGATGGATATCCTAGGTTGCTCAGTTCTATCCTGCCAGGGTTCATTCCTGCTCTCATTTGGATGTTTCTCAGGTATCCTAAAGTGGTTTTTATTTTATTTTGTGTGTGTGGGCCATTCTAGCAGACACCAGAAGAGGACCTAGAGCTGGAGTTACAGGCAGTTGTGAGGTGCCTGATGTGTGATTACTGGAAAGTGAACTTGGGTTACCTGAAGAGCAGCAAGCACTCCTAAGTGCTGTTACCTCTCCAGCCTTGGTGTTTAAATGCATAGAAAGTGCAATCAGATAGCTGAGCAGCGGTGGCACACACTGGCACCCCAGCACTCAGGAGGCAGAGGCAGGAAAATCTCTGAGTTTGAGGCCAGCCTGGTCTAGAGAGTGAGTTCTAGGGCAGCCAGGACTGCACGGAAAAACTCTGTCTCGAAAAACAAAACGAAGGCAAACATAAAAGAGTGTTGGAGAAATCGAAGATTCAGAGGGGAATAATGAGAGTTGGGAAGGAGGAAAAAGGTGGAAATTGGGAGACAGCTGACTAAATTGGATGGGAGGAAAGGGAGACACATGAAGCAGAGAAGCTTTGCACTGGTACTGTGTGTATGTTGGTCTTTTACAGAGCCCATTGTCGTCTCCTGATTTCTGCTCCTTATCTCTGGAAGCTAATCCCTGCAGACTTTCATTTTCTAAACGCCTGTATCTAGGTAAGGAGGCAAGAGACAGGACTGCAGGAGAAACCCAAGGTATCCCCAGACCCCCTTCCAGCTCCCAACCATCATACAGGTTCATTTGCTTCCAGCTCCTCGGTGGAAGATGGAGCTTCAGGGCAGTTCCAGGGACATTTCCTCCTCCCCTCTGCCCTTTCTTGTGTTTTATCTGTGTGTTTGGGACAGGTGCAGACTACCGAATCAGTGACTTAAGTTTTAAGACAGTATCACTCTGTTGCCTAGGCTAGCTTGGAATTCAAGGCAATCCTCCTGTCTCAACCACCGGGATTACAGACGTGAGCCACCATACCTATCATAACCAAGTTCTTGATTTGTGTCTTCATTGATCTATGTTTTATTATTTTATCTTAATACATTATTATTGTTGTTTGTTCTGTTTTGTTTTGGGGATTTTGTTTGTTTAAGGCAAGGTTTCTCTGCGTAGCTTTGGAGCCTGTCCTGGAACTCACTCTGTAGACAAGGACGGCCTGTAACTCATAGCGATCCACCTGCCTTTACCTCCCAAGTGCTGGAACTAAAGGCATGCACCACCAATGCCCTGGCTTACCACCTGCATTATTGTTGTTGTTGGTGGTGGTAGTGGTGTGTGTGTGTGTGTGTGTGTGTGTCATGGCACCCTTGTGGAAGTCAGAAGGCAGTGGTAGGATCCAGGTTGTCAGGCTTGCATGGGATTGCTTTACCTACTGAACCATCTTGCCAGCCTGTATCTCCAACTTGGAGATGTGGTCGAGTTGATAGAGTGACTATCTAGCATTTATGAAACCCTAAATTCTGTCCCCAGCACCACATAGACCAGGCCTGGTGTCACATGCCTGTAATCCCGACATTCCACTAAGAAGGTGGAGGTTAGGATCAGGAGTTCAAGAGCTACATAGAGCATTTGAGGTCATCCTAACTCTGTTTAGTAACACAATAAGAGGCCTTGTCTCAAAACACACAGTGGCACACTCAAGAGGCAGAAGGGCAGGGTCGTCTTATTTTACCTGCTTAGGATCCCATTAATGGTCTCCCATGTCCCATCTAATTTCCAGCCACAACAGATAATGTGGCAATGACTATTTATGCTCGGTTTCTTTGGGAGATCTGTCTGTGTCATGACTGTGACTGTCTATATTTATAACTACCTGTAGAAGCAGAGTCGCTGAGTCATAGGGTGTTTTGCCTAGTTTGATTCCGTACTGTACTGCCAGCTTTCTTCAGAAAGGCTGCCCCAGTTTCTCAGCAGTGTAGGGGGGCTGTCACCACTATCCTC